CGTACTGAACTCGTCTGCGCGTCGCCTGTCGGTTCAGTCTGGTTCCGCTGCCACACGCAGACCCCAAACAGTCAATCTGCGAACTGCAGGTGCGAGTTTAAACTACCGCATGTGTTCAGCCCACCACCCCGGACTCTAAACTACACCTTTCCTCCAGCATTCACACTATTTTCACCATGTTGTGGACAGCGAACACGATAATGAGGAAATTCTCCTCGAGCTCTGTGAGTAACGTTAACCGTATCTTCTGCATTGTCGATTTTGCCGAATGAATGAATGAATGTATATTTATAAATGTGTTATAACGGTTGCAGATACATACAAAGACCTTAAAATAAGTCTATAAATGTTGTCGGCTTCTTAATTAACAGTAGTAAGCAGGGGTTACACATATGTGGTGGTTGTGAGCGTGCTGTCAACTGATATAACCCGGTATCGTAATATACTGTTATTATTAAGTTACCACACATGTGCGCTCATTCACTATATATGGATAGTTTATGAAGGCTTATTTGATAGTAAATTGATATTAAACCGGCTTGGGATCAGTGTTTGCCACGTTGCTTCGTCGGATTACTTCCAGTAGACAGATCCGAGGAGAGTTGCATCAGCAGGGGCGAGAATATACTACATGGGGGCAGATCATATTACTGTCACTATTACTTGACCATAAATTAGCATACTTCAGAGCACATGTGCATTCATAGGTAAACATGGTGCATGCATGATTTTGCCATATGGCAATAGTAAAATTCAGTGCATGTTTGTTGTGAACACAATGTGTGTGAGCTGGTTGTTTCACTGTATCTTTTTAATGTCAGCTCTATTGTGCAGCATTCTTACACTTTAAAAGTAGTTATAGGCATGATTGTTTTGGATGCACAACATGATACACACATATACAGTTGTGACTTGGGAAATATTTATATAATAATAATAATAATGATAATAATAAAGACAGTAATAGCAGCATACAATGAAATGGAAAAGAATAAAATTTATTCTCAGCAAATATGTGGTCAAGGATTTGCTTATTTTGCAAATGGTAAGCTTTTAAAAGCTGAACGTCTTGGTCATTTAGAATATCTTTCATCTAAATATTAGTTTATTGCACATTAATACATGTAAAAATACAAAACAATAGTCAAATATATTATTTATCTTGATAACAGTGTGTTTATTACACCTTTAAAATAATAAAGTAATACAAAACAATAATAAATTGCATTTTAATTATACTTTAATTATAAAATATTATACTTTAATTTATATATGTTTTATAACCATTTTCTCCTTTGTATCCTCCTTTTTATCTGAATTGATAGTGTTTAAAATTGGTATAGATGAAAAGTCATTAAAATAATTTGTTTAAATCATTTGTTTTAATATTTATATGTGTGTTTATTAAATTGTATATATGTATGTATTTAATTATTTATTTATTTTTATTTATAGCACATAAACAAGTAATACAATAATAATACAAATACTATTCAGTTATATATATATTTATTGACGCTTTGTTTTCTACTGTGATCTTCATATTTAGTGGTTCTTTCACTTTTTGTACAATTTATATGTATAAACAATGTGTTTTTTTTTACAATTATTTCCTTAAAAAATCGTTAAAAAAATTATATATATATATATATATATATATATATATATATATATATATATATATATATATATATATATATATATATATTATTATTATTATTATTATTATTATTATTATTATTTTAAACGATTTTTTAAGGATGTTTTAAATTTTAGCATTGGAGAAAGTTTACAATAACCCCTACATTTTTTTCTAGCGTTTTAACTTTTGATCATCTTTCCCACAGGTTTACTACCAAAATAAGCTGAAGCTGGCCCTGATTGGCCAAAGCTTGTTTGGACAGGAAGTGTATACAAACCTCCGCAAGCAGGGCCATAAGGTGGTCGGCGTTTTCACAGTTCCTGATAAGGACGGCAAGGCGGACCCCCTGGGTGAGTGCGGTATGGGTGAGGGGTGCGGTTTCTGTAACTGTAGTGTTGACACGGGGGCTGGGAAGACACATTTGCAGTCACATGCATGAAACGCCCTGTTTACAGATGGTAAAGAGATGCATTTTTCATTTATTTGATCATAAGTGGACGATGTTAAATGTGGGTCTGAAAGGTTATGTGCTCTACCTTTTTAGTCACAATCAGAGGTAAAATGACATGCATCACACTATAGAGAATATGGAGGAAAACTGTAAAATATACGGTAAAACAATAGCAGCTGGAGTTAAAATACAGTAGGGAAATATGTAAAAAATACAGTAGGAATATATATATATATATATATATATATATATATATATATATATATATATATATATATATATATATATATATATATATATATATAGTAATTCAACTTTGTTTTATTGTTCAACAGCCAAAACAAACAAAGAACAAACTTCACACTACACATCCTCACGGCTTTCCATTAGTTACTGTAGCAGCTTTCTTATAGAGTAAGCAGGTTTTTTACGCGTAAGAGTCCATAGGCAAAATAGATGCAAACAAAAACGTCTTTGTTTTCCAATCAATAGAATTCCTTCATCAATATTCCTTCATCTATAATGCACATTTCACTGTAGTATGTATGTTACCTTACGTTACATTACGGTCAAAAACTACGCTTCCTAGCAACCTCTCTCCTCAATGCAGTAATGCCACAGTTATATTCTATCATACTGACACCTTGTGGCCTATCACCAATATACAGCTTCTGTATGGCTCTTACAGTTACACATAGCAGTGGTTCTCAAAGTAGGGGTCCCCAGGGGATCGTGGGACAATGAGTGGGGGTCACTTGGCGATTTCCAAAAATCTAATTCATTATTTTATGGCACCACTTTAAACTTTATAACATCTTTACGGCACCCATGTACTGTATATTAAAAATAAATAAATACAGGCCACAACTGAACATCTCAGAGTGGCATTCTTCAAAATTAAATGATGAATAAACTTGGGCCTATTGGTATGTGTGCGCCAGTGTGTAAGGTTTATATGTTTATGACTACCTCAGAGAATATTGGGGGTTGAGAGTCACTGGCATTGTATTTTTGGGGGTCGCCTGTTGAAAAGTTTGGGAATCCCTGACATACAGTATGAACATATTCAGCAAAATGTCAGCGCCAAGAAAATTCAACTAAAAAAAAACAACATATAGTAAACATGGAAATTAAGGTTGTCACACCCTTTAAGACATACTCATTTATCCTAATTTTAAACATGGCCAGAAATTATGCCAAGTGTAAACCATTTACTTGTGATCAAATGGACTAAAATTCCTCTTTATACTGGTGCCAGAATGTGATGTACTCATATTTTAAGGGCCACAGGAGTGGAAATAAAAGTTGGGAAACAGGGAAATGAGGAAGCTCCACTAATCGAGTTTGTCAGGTTTGTGGGTAACATTAAGGCCATCATTGTTGTAATGACCTCTCACAGACACAACACTGCATTCCTGCGCAGCACATTGGCTGTGATTGGGTGTGTGTGTGTGTGTTTATGTTTGCGTGAGGCACAGCAGCAGCTTAGTGCCGGTCAGAGATGAAATACATCCCTCATAATGAACACATTGTTTTGGTGAAGTGTGGTGTGTATCCTACTGGAAACTGAGCATTTGTGAGGAAAAACAACCGGTTTCCATGTGGTATTATTAACAGGTTTTTAGTGATCCAGTCATAGTTTGATCATAGTGTTAATATTATCAAATGACCACTTGTGTTGAGTTTTTATCGAGACTCTTCCTTCAAGCTTTGTCACAGTCGTTAGGTCAGCGTATATTCATATATTATTTTATGTAATATTAATAGTGCTGGGCAAAAAAATACATAGACAAATTATATGTACATTTAAATATTTATGTAACAAATTGTTTTGTGTAGTAATTAATATATGTAATTCGCCTATAATGTGTCAAAACAGACTTTTATTTTGGATGGGATTAATCATGACAAATATTTTGCCCAGCACTACACTGTAAAAAATGCAGGGTTCCACACAATTTATTCATGTTGACCCAACAAAAATCAATGAAGTTAACTTAACACTTTAACAAATTTATGTGCATTGAACATAAAAAATTAAGTTGAAATCTCAAGAATTATGTTGTTTCAGCAAATAGTTTGAACAAGCAAATATACATTTTTTTTTGAGTGTGTGTGTGTATATATGTATATATATATAATTACTATTCATTCATTCATTTTCTTTTCGGCTTAATCCCTTTATTATTCAGGGGTTGCCACAGCGGAAAGAACAACCAACTTATCCAGCATATTATTTACACAGCAGATGCCCTTCCAGCCGCAACCCAGCACTGGGGAAATTATTATTTATTTTAATTTGCTTCCTTTGTGCAACATGCATTAGTTTGTAATTGTATATATAATAAGAAATGCTAAACAAATCAATTATATTGATATATTTAACTAGAGTAATTAAATGTTAATTATTAGTAATAAATTATACTTGCAATTAATTATATTAATATATTTAATTTGAGTAATTATATGTTAATTATATATAATACATTATACTTGCAATAAATTAAATTATATTAATATATTTAATTAGGTTTACTGTATATTAATTATTAGTTATAAACTATACTTGCAATAAATTATTATATATTTAAATGTAGTTATTATAGGTTAATTATTAGTAATAAATTACACTAGCAATAAATTATATTAATATATTTAATTTGAGTAATTATATGTTAATTATATATAATACATTATACTTGCAATAAATTAAATTATATTAATATATTTAATTATGGTTATTATATATTAATTATTAGTAATAAATGATACTTGCAATAAATTATGATATATTTAAATGTAGTTATTATATGTTAATTATTAGTAATAAATTACACTTGCAATAAAGTATTATAATATTTGTTTGATTTATTTATTTTGTTTAGTTTTTTCAGTAAAGTTCTGTAATTATTTTTTATTAAATGGCAGAAAAATCTGACTTTAAATGTAAAAAAATAAATTTAAATTAATTAATTTTAATAAAAATTTATAAATATTCGATAAATCCAATAAAATAAAATCTAGTAGAACTAATTGTAATGGAAGTAGTAGTTAAACTGGCCTTCAAATACTCTCTAAATAGCTTATTTTGATTCACCTCCAGTGAAAAAATCCACCTCCATTTAAAGACTGCATTGATATTATTACAGCATTAATATTCAATTAAATTTTATCTTTATTCTATAACACTTTTTACAATGTAGATTGTGTCAAATCAGCTTAACGTTCTTATGAATGAAACATTTACATTTAGATATAAAGGACGAGCTCTCAAGTATGTGTGGTTTTGATTTTAATTGCTCCTCAATAAAGTCTGGATAAAACAGGTGTGCCATGGTTTCAGTCAGGGGCGCCCCCAAGGGGTGGCCAGGGGTGGCCACGGCCACCCCACGGTAAACTATGGCCACCCCTGTGGCCACCCCAATATAATTTTGCTGTTGACATTATTGTTTTAAATGTACTTATAAATTCCCAATATTTAAATAAATAAAATGCAGCCACTAAATTATTGTTGGTGTTACTGACATAGCTGATTCATTGTCTCTCCCCCTTAGTGCTGTTTCAGTGGTGAATGCTGGTAAAAGCAAAATGACGCATGCGCGCAGAAAACCATTCCCGCGCCTCACGCACTCCCGTGTGAATCCCGGTTGGTTGTTTGCATACACGCCGACAAAATAGGCGCCGCTCATGCGCCGTGAAACGGATGAACAGCCTTTTGTGCAGAGGTTTCGGCACGCAGCGAGTTTTGAAAGTCGACTAAAGTTTATATAATATGATGATGATGATGATGATGTTACTTTCACTAAGCATGGCTTTAAAGCAGAAAGGAGGGATAATGAGTCAGGGAGGTAAGACTTCATAACATGATTTCTTAGCCATGATCTGGTCTAAGACCCCAGATAATTCTATAATACATTTTTGTATTCTTTAGAATTGTCATAATTAATTTTTATGCAAAAGGTTTCTTAAGTGATATTGGCATATCACTCCAGTTGTTGTTTTCCAGTAATATTTAGGATTGATTTCTGTTATTTATTTAAAATAATAATTGTATAATAATATTAATATTAATTGTATTTTAATACAATTCTGTGAGTTACCAAACAAATTTCGTTGTATAACTACAATGACAATAAATGTTCTTTACTTTACTTAATACTAATTGTATTTATTTAGAATAAATATAAATAAATTGTTATATTTATTGAATAACAAATCTAACAATTCAAAGGAGGTGGGGGTGTATAGGGTGGTTCGCCCAGAGTGTCATTTAAACTAGAACTGCCACTACCCTCTCCGATTGTCGTTGACAGCACGCACACACCTTCAATAGACAGCAATGGCAATTTAATATTTACCTCAAGGTAAAGTTTATCAATAGAAGAAGCTGCATTAATAAATGGCTCAAAAAGTAATATGGATAAATTATATTATTAGGTATAGTGAGTGTATATAGTAATGCCTTTCATTCAGTTTGTTCATTTGTTTGGGTTATTAATAAACTCATTATTCTTTCATTCATTTTCTTTTCGGCTTAGTCCCTTTATTAATCCAGGGTCGCCACAGTGGAATGAACTGCCAACTTATCTAGCACATTTTTACACAGTGGATGCCCTTCCATCTCTGGGAATAATAAACTCATTAATCTTTATTAATTTTAGACATGGTATATACTGTATGATGTACAATAAAAGCATGTAAAAAAAGTTAATTATACAATATATATATATATATATATATATATATATATATATATATATATATATATATATATATATATATATATATATGAAAAGTGTTTGTAAACTAAACATAGATTTTTATTTGGTTTGCACATGTACTTCCTCAATTATTTCAAGGAATAAATTGCAATATTTCAATAAAAATTAATTAAATGAATAAAAACTACATTATTTCATTTACCAGAAACAAAAATATAACATTACACTTAATTCATTATTTTTTTGTGTGCCACCCCAAGATTTGGTGCGGCCTCTTCTGGCCACGCCTAAGAACATTTTCTGGGGGCGCCACTGGTTTCAGTCCAGAAATCTTGTGTGAATTTTCAGTATCTGTGTCTCTCTGACCTTCAGCGGTGGTGGCAGAGAAGGACGGGACGCCGGTGTTTAAGTTTCCACGCTGGCGAGTGAAGGGTAAACCCATCCCGGAGGTGGTGGAGGCGTATAAAGCAGTGGGTGCAGAACTGAACGTCATGCCCTTCTGCTCCCAGTTCATCCCTATGAATGTGATCGACTTCCCCAAACACGGCTCCATCATTTACCACCCCTCCATCCTGCCCAAACACAGAGGAGCCTCCGCGATTAACTGGTGAGGGGTTTTAAAAAACTCTCTTTCCTTCTCTAAATTTTCTAAAATAATTCTAAATTAACAAAACTAACACTGAAAGTAACCGACATAAGTGTTTACTTGTCAGGATATGGTCTTCATTGTAGATTTGGCCTGTTTTTAAGTGATGTTTGTGTTTGCAGGACACTAATCGAGGGCGATAAGAAGGCTGGATTCAGTGTATTCTGGGCTGATGATGGTTTGGATACTGGACCCATCCTGCTGCAGAAAGAGTGTCAAGTAGAGCCCAACGACACAGTGGACACTCTTTATAACCGCTTCCTGTTTCCAGAGGGCATCAAGGCCATGGTGAATATACATAATTTTTTTTTTTTAAAACAACACTTTTATGCTAAATAAAGTTGACCTACAGATTTGGTTTGAAACAGGTTGAAGCTGTACAGCTCATTGCAAACGGAAAAGCTCCCAAAATCCCTCAGTCTGAAGAAGGAGCCAGTTATGAGGGAATCCAAAAGAAATCCAATGCTAAGGTGGGATAGGAGTAAATAGCTTGAAATGTAATTAAAGTAAGTGAACGTCATCTTTATCTGTCAGTCTCTGGTTATTTTTCCAGGTGAATATGGCTCAGCCGGCAGAGGCTATTCATAACTGGATCCGTGGACATGATAAAGTTCCTGGTGCCTGGGTTGTGATGGATGGAAAGGTATTATTATAAGGGGACCCTTTGTTCATAACAACAACAACAACAAATCAAATATTTTGAATTGAATATTATTATTGTTTTATTATTTGTTTATGATCTATGAAATCATAAATGATTTTATTCATCTGAGATATTATAAATAAAACAACAACAACAAAAAACCCATCAAACTAAAGTAACGTTTGTCACTTGAAATAAAATAAATGACACATATATGATTTAAATGTACATTATATATTTTTAATTGTATAAATTAAATTATACATTTAAACTAAATGTATACCAAAAGTTATTAAGATAAGAATCAAAAATCATTTGTTTCATAAAATAAGCAATATAAACATGAGTTAAAAATCAAATAATAAAGAAATTTTAATATTATTTTAAAATTTAAAAAAATAGAAAAAGTAGAATATAATTAGAATAAATATAAACAAAATAAATATTTTTTTTAGAAATTTAGAATTAAAAAAAAAATTATACAATTCTAAAAATGACAAAACATGTCAATAAAAATAACTATACCTAAAAATTAAATAAAAACAGATCTAAACAAAAAAATCATCAAAAGAAGCTAATAAAAATTTGAGCCATTAATTAAAAAAAACTGCCTCAAAAGCGTTAACATAAAATACATGGGTCAAGTAAAGTTAGAATAAATATTTTGCCTTATTATATTATATTATATTATATTATATTATATTATATTATATTATATTATATTATATTATATTATATTATATTATATTATATTATATTATATATATTATTATACTATAAAAGACACTCATTTCATATTTGATGTCAAAATATTATCACTTATCATTTTTTATTTGTATACACACACACACACACACACACACACACACACACACATATATATATATATATATATATAGAGCTCAGCATATATAAGTAAACCCCTCACAAATGTCTAATTTTAATTCATATTTATTTATTTATTATTATTTTATTTTATATTTATGATATAATATTTGTGCATATATATATATATACATATATATATATATATATATATATATATATATATATATATATATATATATATATATATATATATATATATATATATATATTAGTCATTAACAAAGCCAAATCTGGAGCTTATCTAACAAAATAACTTACAATAACAGTCCAAAAATTAGTAACAAAAATTAGTAACTCAAACTTATATGTTAGGGGAAAATATTTTTTAAAATTTTTACAAAGAGCAAAAATCAAGAGAAGCAAAAAATATATAGAATGTTGTTGAAATGTTGTGGTTTGTAATTTCGGTTTCAATATTTTGCATGAATTTAATTGTATTATCTTTCTATTTCTAAAGATATTCTGTGACTAAAATATTATCTTAATAATTATATCTGTTTAATAAATCTGTTTTGTTTAAATGCATCAAAATACACTGCACTGAGAAATGGATAAAAATATTCATTTTCAAAATGGGGTGTACTCATTTATGCGTGCGTGCGTGTGTGTGTGTGTGTGTGTGTGTGTGCGCGCGCGTGCGCATGTGTGTGTGTGCGTGTGTGTGTGTGTGAGATTATAATTATTAACTAATTATAATTTTATAAATATATGTATTATTTTTATTCAGAAAACTGTAAGCGAATTCAAGACTAATTCTTATACCATGTTTAACAAATGATATTGTAATATGTGTTTTATTTGTTTTCTCCAGCCTGTAACTGTGTACGGTTCCTCAGTGTTGAGCGGGTCTGTGCCTGCAGGTCAGCCCATAGACATAGAAGGAGCGTCTCAGCCTGGACTCATCACCAAATCTGGACTCCTTCTCTTCGGCTCTGATGGAAAAGCGGTTAGTGTTGAGCTTTTTTAATATTCTTTTTTACTTGTTGACCTTTGAAGTTTTACAGAATTATAATAAAGAGTTTTAATTAATTTAATATCTCTGTACAGCTCCAGGTGAAGAGCCTACAGTTTGAGGATGGAAAGATGATTCCTGCGTCCAAATACTTTTCATCTGAGGAATCCGCCAGTTTGGATCTTACAGATGATGAGAAAAAAATGGCAGAGGAGATCAGGGTATGTGTCCGTTTCTGTGACTTAATCATTTATAATAGATTTGTGTTGAGCAATTTATTTATTTTTGCATGCTTGTCTAGGCGATCTGGAAAGGGATTTTGAGTAATGTTGCAGCTATTGAAGAAACCACCGATTTCTTTAAGTGTGGAGCCGCTTCAATGGATGTAGTCAGGTGGGTCTTCAGCTTATGTATTTTTCCTGTTTAAATTATTGTATTTATTTTTGTTGTATCATTTTTCAGCTGGTCCGATTTTACTAAAGTATTTATTTAGTACATGTTGACAATTATATTATATATTATTAATATATATTTTATTGGTTATTTATGTTTATTTAATATTGTATTTTTATGTAGATTTTATTTGAATATTTTCAGTTTACGTTGTAAATGTATTTAAAAAAACACTATTCAAATATTATTTTAATTTAGTGAAATTATTATATATTTTTAAATATTTATTTTATTTCGGTTTCTGTTATTATTAGTGTCAGTATTGTAATTAAAATGTTGCAGATTATTATTATTTACTTACTCTTCTTTTGTGGTATAAGTGTTTTTAATGTTAGCATTTCTGTTTTTACCGATTTATTTATTTTTTATCTGTAGCTTAAGTTTTGCATTTAGGCATAATTTCTGTTAGTTTTCAGTGTGGCATATCTCATTTTTGTGCAAGTTTGTCACTTAATATTTTTGTTTTATTTATAATAACCTCAAATTTTTATCTGTGTTATGTGTATGCATTTATTTTAATTTATGTTATATGCCATTGAAACATTGTTCATTCTTATTTAGGTTTTCATCTATATTATAATATATGTTTTCATTTATATTATATTTTAGCTTTATTGTAATTACAGGTGTTTTTGAAACATTAATAACATTGCATTGATTTAACAATAATAACATTATATAACATTAATAACAATGTAAATAAGTTGCTAAAATGCCTAAGAATTACAAAAATATTTATATTTATGTCACATCCTTGATTATATTAGCATGGTTGACCATTCTATCAATGTACTTTGAGCTTATTTCACATGCAAATAAGTTATCCAGTATGTCCAGACTGGCAAATATTTGGCAAACTGCATGACAAATAGTAATGCTAAAGTATGTCTAACACACTGACACATGAGCTGACACAAACACTGTGCAATTAGAGTTGCTTTACATAGGTGAGTGGGCTTGACAAACCACCTGTAGAAACTCTCTCCCTCTTTCTCACTCTGTGCACAAACAAGTTACTTTGTATAACTAGCACTTGTTATGTGTATTGCCAATAGTTAAATCTCTGAATGCCTCCCCAGTTGTTAGTCAAAAGCGTCTGCTAAATGACTAAATGTGAATGTGTTTTTAAATACGGAGATTTTTGTTTATGAATATTACATGTGTGTTCTGTGTTATTGTGATAACTGGTTTAGGTTGGTGGAGGAGGTGAAGCAGAAATGCGCTGGTGTTCAGCTGCAGAACGAGGACGTTTATATGGCCACCACCTTCCAGAGCTTCATCCAGATGCTGGTCCGACGCCTGCGTGGAGAAGACCAGGAGGAGGAGATGCTTATTGATTATGCCACAAAAGAGGTCAACAACATGACCGTGAAGATGCCCTACCAGTGCTTCATCAACGGCAAGTTCGAAGACGCAGATGATGGAAAAACATACAACACCGTCAACCCCACAGATGGCTCGGTAAGTTCTGAAGTAGATTTTTTATTATATCAATTCCAGCATTATGGATGTGACCTAAAAACTAAAACATGAATTCACAGAGAAACTATATGTTAACATTATATTGGAACATCTGTTTATATTTCCCAGAACAACTAAGCACAGAGTTAATATATCAATCTGTGAAGATTTTTATTAGTTTAATTAAGGGGAATAAACATGCGTTATGGATGTGACCAAAAAAGTATGCAAGTTTTCAGTACATAACATACTTTTTTGTAGAAATTCTGTGAATTAAACTGCACAAGAAATAATGCAAATCAAAAGGATATGAGTTAGCTCACTATAGAACAAAAATGATTGATATTTATTTTAGTTTACATATCTATGAGAGAAATGGATGTGACATCTCTTTGTTATGGATGGGACTGATGTGGAATTGGCACTTATGTGAGTTCTTGTGCCACTTTTTGGTCTTGAACAACTGTTTTTGTGTATCTACATGTACATTTAAATGGAAATGAGCTGCTTCTCCTCACCCCTTTTCAGAAAGCGTCCCAAACAATTCACTCACTATTAAAGGATTTTTTTTTAAAAAGGATTTTTTATTTTATTTTGTGATTATGTTGGGCAACAATTTAGACCAGGCGTCACCAATCTCGGTCCAGGAGGGCCGGTGTCCCTGCAGGGATTAGCTCCAACTTGCCTCAACACACCTGCCTGGGTGTTTCAAATATACCTAGTAAGACCTTGATTAGCTTGTTCAGGTGTGTTTGATTAGGGTTGGACCTAAAATCTGCAAGACACCGGCCCTCCAGGAACAAGTTTGGTGACCCCTAATTTAGACCATTTATTGTTTAATATAACATCCATTATATATCCATAAAATAAACTTAATGCTGTCACAAAATACATTCTTTTAACTTTATTAAACTTCCACTCCTTAACTTTGCTATGTTTGATTATTACTCTTTTTTTGTTTTACATCTTTAGTATTTAACTATTTCAATATCTTTTACAATTGAACTTTTACAATGTAACTTTGGAATATAGAGTCAGATTAGTATCTAAAGTCGTATATCTGTATTTTGTACTGTCTGGAGCCAGCACCTAAGCTTTTCACTCATCATAACACACGTGCTGCTGATGAGAGTGACAATAAAAGTGATTTGATTTGAAGTAATTCACGCAAAAGTCACGATGTACACTTGCATAGCCAAGTTCACATGCATAAAACCAAATTCACGTGCGCAAAATATTTATATAGATTCACAAAAACAAGTCACGTGCACAAAATAAAAATACATCTTCATAAAATATGTTTCACAAATGCAAAACACCATTTGCAAATGTTTAACAGTGTACAAAAAGTTTTGAAATTCACGAATTCATCCTGAATGAGAATGTGCAAATTCTTTTTCACGTACGACTCCCTTGTATATGTGTGTGCATTTTTGAGACTCTCCTGGCAGCAGCAGACAACTCGTACCTTTCAGCCAATCAGTTAGAGCTGTATAGGATGTGACCCACTCTGCACACCTTTTGCGCAGTCTGATTCTCTCCAGCATGGCGAAAGGAGAAAGAGATGTGCAGGCTTCAAGCCAGAATTATTAAATTCCCTGACTTTAACTTTTTCTATACTGTTAAACATTTGCAAAGGTTGTTTTGCATTTGTGAAATATATTTTTTGAATATGTATTTTTATTTTGTGCACGTGAATTTGGTTTTATGCATGTGAATTTGGCGACGCATGTGTACACCATGTCTTTTTTGCGTGAATTACTTCAGCTACTAATCTGACTTCATATTGGAAGTCCACCAAAGAAGGTGCAGCCTCAAAACCACACCTACTATTATTTCATCCCCGTGTTTGTTACAGAGAGGTTTGTGTATCGGGTGAAAAAAAAAATAATAATAATAACTAAATCAGACTTGAATGTTTGCTTGTTGTTTGAGTGAACTGGAAATGAACCAACCTGATGTCCACATTAAAGAAGGCGGAGCCTTAGAGCCACACCCACAAATCACTCACCAATGCCAAGCCGTTTGCAAACCTCTTCCAAACATCACACTAGTTCATTCTTTATTTTCACTTAAAGTACATTTAGGCCTTCATGGTAGTCTTGTGTGTTTTCAGGTGATCTGTAAAGTGTCTTACGCATCAGTGGCAGATGTGGACAAAGCTGTAAGTGCTGCAAAAGAGGCTTTCGACAATGGGCCTTGGGGTAAGATGAACCCCCGTGACCGCGGCCAGCTGCTGTACCGGTGAGATATGTTCAAAAGCCTGTGCTGAGCCAATATTTGACATAGATATGATAAGCCAAACACTTTTACTGAGCAAACACTAATACACTCCAATCATTTGACCAATAATTGATTTCCCTGAGAACTTCATATCCTTTATTGGCAACAAAACAGAACTTTTGGACTGCTCTTATGTGTAGTTTGGCTGACCTGATGGAGGAACACCAGGAAGAGTTGGCCACCATTGAGACCATCGACTCTGGTGCTGTTTACACTCTGGCTTTGAAAACACACGTCGGCATGTCCATTCAGACATTCAGATACTTCGCCGGCTGGTGTGACAAGATCCAGGTGTGTGTGCATTGACTGAGCAGGCCTACATTTTTTTTTTGTTTTGCATTTTGAAATTTCCTGTCACTGACACATCAAATCCTGTTACTCAAAGGGCTCAACGATACCCATCAATCAGGCCAGACCCAACCGAAACCTCACTTTTACAAAGAAAGAGCCTTTGGGGTGAGTGCTTTGTAATGTGTGTGTGTGTGTGTGTATGCATGCAAATTTGATTAACATAAATAGGCAGCACAGTGGCTCACTGGTTAGCACTGTCACCTCAGCAAGAAGGTCACTGGTTCATGTCCCGGCAGGGGCAGTTGGCATTTTTGTGTGGAGGTGAATTGGATAAATTAAATTGGCCTTAGTGTATGAGTTTGTGTGTGAATGTGAGAGTGTGTGGGTGTTTCCCAGTGCTGGATTGTGGCTGCAAAGGCATCCGCTGCGTAAAACATATGCCGGAATAGTTGGCGGTTCATTCCGCTTTGGTGACCCCTGATAAATAAGAGACTAAGCTGAAGGAAAATGCATAAAGTTGCAGTATGGTGTTGTTGTTTTTTCAGTGTGTGTGCCATTGTAATTCCCTGGAACTACCCGCTTATGATGTTGGCATGGAAGAGCGCGGCCTGTCTGGCGGCGGGAAACACACTCGTCTTAAAACCTGCTCAGGTAAAACACACAACCTAAAACAATACAACTGAAAAATGCAATTGGGCATGATCTAAATGGGAATGTGCACTACACACGGACTTTTAATATTTAGTCAGCCAGCCCAAGCGCTTCTGTTAAATTGTTGCGCCATTAAAAATTTGCCACTAATAACATCTGATTTCTTTAAGAAATCTGTGATCTTCACTGCCTGATAAATATATGAAATAAGGCAGCTCACAGACCAAACAAGAAGCACTGCACATAAGTAAAATTTTCCACGTCATGTCTTCAAAATATGGAAATTAATTTAACCCTAGTATTTTCAATGGAGTTTCTGTGCTAGTCTGCGAGTCTATAATCTTGTTTTACTCTTGAACAACTAAATGAATGCCTAGGTCTACTCAACCGATTGTATTTTAATTGCATTACCACATCGATGCTATAAAAGGAACCTTATGAAATCGAAAATAGTCACACAAACCTTGCACCGTTAGCTTATTGTTGGCTGAAAAACACTAGCTGTGCATATACCCCATTCAGACCCCCATTTATTCCAAAACGACTGTGATTTACATCATTTTTACAGCATTCAAAATAGCTGTCCTGGGAATTTCAGTATGAATCGCTTCCCAATAATACACAAACTACCAAAAAACCATATTAAATTCTCAGTGTTTTTCCAGGTAACTCCATTAACTGCATTGAAGTTTGCCGAGTTGACAATCAAAGCTGGCATTCCTAAAGGAGTCATTAACATTGTACCAGGATCAGGTGAGTATTCAATCTTAGTGGCTGATGTGACTGATAAACAATCTGATATTGACCGTATTCTGCGATGTAGAAGTGCACTCATTTTTTGCTATTGTTATAGAACTAAGAATAATATACAGCTCAAACGAATTGCTCTACAAAGATGTGTTCTCATAACTATACACAAAAAGTAGAACAGCACAATAAGAAAATATCAGTTTGCAACTTTAGGCAGCATAACAAGCTGTGTTTAACGTCTAGAAAACAATGGAAGTGAATGAAACTGGGAGTCTCGAGATTCAAATTCAATAAGAATAAGGTCAATAAGATCACAACTTTCCATTCCTTTCTCTTTTCAGGTGGTCTGGTCGGGCAGAGGATGTCTGAGCATCCTGATATCCGTAAGCTTGGTTTTACAGGCTCAACACCCATTGGCAAACAGATCATGAAGAGGTGAGGTTAATGTCAGTAAATTATTTTGTTTTTTGTTACTGTTATTGATATTGGCATGTAGGGGCCTGATGTCCTACTCCTCTAGTATTCTTAAAAGAGATAGTTCATCCAACATTTACACACTATTTACTCGCCTTTAAGTGGTTCCAAATTATTTGAGTTTCATTCTTCTGGCAAACACAAAAGAAGATATTTTGAAGAAAGCTAAAAACCTAAAACCATTGACTTTCATAGTAGGAAAAACAAATACTATGGAAGTCAATACAAGGTTCTGACATTTTTCAAAATATCTTCTTTTGTGTTCAACAGAAGAAAGAAACTCAAAGTTTGAAACAAGGGTGAGTAAATGATGGTAATTTTCATTTTGGGGTGAACTGTCCCTTTAACCAAAAGACTGCTGCAATATGTAAATCTAACACGTTGCACTGTTTATGTTCCAGCTGTGCGGTCAGTAACCTGAAGAAAGTTTCACTGGAGTTGGGCGGTAAATCTCCTCTCATCATCTTCAGCGACTGTGACATGGATAAAGCAGTGCGAATGGTGAGAGAAAACAACTGCTGCTAGAATATACAAATACAAGATCATCTTAGTCTTAAAGGAACAGTTTTAATTCTGAATAGTGTCATCATTTACTCATCCTTCACTTGTTCCAAACCTGTTGAAGTTACCTTTTTCTGTTAAACACATAATAGGATATTTTGAAGAACGTTGGAAAGTAGTAGGCACTGACTTTCATTGTATTTTCCTACTATGGATGTTAATGGCTGCTGGTTTCCAGCATGGTGACTGGTTAATTCATGTTTGCTTTTGGGTGAAGAGTTGCATTAATTGCACTGTGTAATTATGTGGTGTTGCAGGGCATGAGTTCTGTGTACTTCAACAAAGGAGAAAACTGTATCGCCGCAGGCCGGCTGTTTGTTGAGGAGTCCATTCATGACGAGTACATCAGGAGAGTGGTATGTGTGCCTCTCTATGGGGTTAGATTTGTCACACAATTCTGCATGTTTTGATCATGTTTCGAGTGCACAAAAATGGCTTGTTGTATGCATATTAATCATTTTGTGCACCAAAGATCATGTTTTGAGCATGCGAAATGGCTTGTTGCATGCATATTAATCTTTTTGTGCAGCAAAGATCATGTTTTGAGCATGCACAATGGCATGTTGCATGCATAGTAACCATTTTGTGCACCAAAGATCATGTTTTGAGCATGCACAATGGCATGTTGCATGCATATTAATCATTTTGTGCACCAAAGATCATGTTTAGAGCATGCACAATGGCGTGTTGCATGCATATTAACCATTTTGTGCACCAAAGATCATGTTTTGAGCACGCACAATGGCTTGCTGCATGCACATTATCAATTCTGCATGCAAAAGATCATGTTTGTGTAGCAACTGTGTCATAGATTCAACCCCACATCTATCTCCATTGATATTAAAGCATGCGAGCTGCTTCTAGATGAAGAGGTTTATGTGTTTTTGTGTGCTCAGGTTGAGGAAATCAAAAAGATGAAGATCGGAGATCCTTTAGATCGCTCCACAGATCATGGACCTCAGAACCACAAGGCTCACATGGACAAGCTGGTGGAGTATTGTGAGATCGGCGTGAAGGAGGGCGCGACACTCGTCTATGGTGGACGACAGGTGGACAGACCAGGTGAGAGCCCAGTCGGACCTGATACGCGTGTTTTAAACAAGCTTGTGAAACTAGATTTGTTTTGTAAGTGAAGGGTTCAGATATAGAACATTTCAGCCATTTTTTCAGATTTGTTCTATGTTTAGGTTCATTTATTTCACTTGACTAAGAATAAAAAAAGTGATTTTAATAGTTATCTATTTAAATGACTTACTTTCATGATATTACAGTGAAAAATACTGAACCTAAACATAGGATACTGATGAAAATGATTAGAAAGAATTAAATATCTTGTATAATTTCTCTTTTTTTAGACTATTATTGATTTTTTGATTAGGCTTTTATTTCTTGATTTTTTTTACAAAAGTACAAAAGTGTCACATTTTTGTGTTTATATGTTTTTGGTTCTACTTTATCTTATTTTTGCTATTTTAATGACTCTAATTAGCCTTATTTAATTATTTTACATTTATTTTAGATTTAGTAATTTTGGTATTGTAATTAAAAATTATTTTATTTTATCCCTAATCTTAAAATTTTTAAATTTGAGGATTTTTTCCATGAAATATTAAAAAATATTTGTATTTATTATGACAGGATTTTTCATGGAGCCCACAGTCTTCACAGATGTAGAGGACCACATGTTCATTGCCAAAGAGGAGTCATTTGGCCCCGTCATGGTGGTGTCCAAATTCAAAGATGGGTAAGTTGCCCATTATCTTTCTATAGTAAGACTTCTGTTTTGTGAGAGCCTTGACTTGCAAGATAAACTTAATAAAATGCAGGAGTTCACTAACAGTCAACAGTATTATAATGCTTTTTATCACTATTGAAAATCCTTTCCCTGCTTATCTGGTTTCACCCCATCAGTGATGTAGATGGAGTTTTGAGCAGAGCCAATGACACAGAGTTCGGCCTGGCTTCTGGCGTCTTCACCCGTGACATTAACAAAGCCATGTATGTGAGCGAGAGGCTAGAGGCGGGAACTGTGTTCATCAACACCTACAACAAAACTGATGTGGCGGCTCCTTTTGGAGGCTTCAAACAGTCCGGGTTTGGGAAAGACCTTGGTAAGAGAGAACAGTTTTAAAGGCCATGTTTACTCCTGCGTATTGATTGATAAGATCAAAAATAGACGAGGAAGGCACATGAACATTTACACATGGTGTTTCACTTAGTCTCAAAATAATTGTTTAGTTTTTATATGCTAGGATACTGTGCCTATTAAAGGGCCAATGCCTTTTTATAAATGTTCATGATGTGTAAAAGCTTAAGTCATGTAGTTATTATCCCACATCTGGCTTCACCTGTATATTTATACATTACGTTCATGAGCTGAATGCGCCAGTTGGGTTAGATGATAAGATCATTAGCGACATGATAATGCTGTCCACATAACACATCATAAAACAACAACCCTGGACATTAAATCTGATGACCCATTCTGTTTCTACAAGCATAAAACCAGAGAGGTTATCTCATGCATGTGAAACTCGTCGCAGTAGCTTGCGTTTCCGGTCTGGCGCAATTGCATGCATATAAATGGAAGTCTATGGGGTAAAAAATGCAGTGCGACCGTATGTGAACAATTAATCTGTGCACGTTAATCCAGTTAAAAAACAGTTTGTTTTAGTAATCTTTAACCAAAATGTAACAATTTCCCTCGCACTGTAACAGCAGATCTTCTCTAATGACTTCAGTTCGATGGCTTGGGCAGAATATGCTTAGACACACACCTCCCAAATGTTAGTTTGCTGCGAATGTAAGATGAGTGCACAAGAAATGCACCCCCTCCCCCTCCTCCTGATTCACACTGACCATCAATAAAGTGTATAAATCAAGTAATCATTAATTAATCAATGGGATCCCTAATACCAACGTATTAGAAGACAACAGAAGATGAAGCAAAACACTATGAAAACAATCTGTTCGGTTGAGTTTCATACAGTTTTGAAACTGGCCAAATTTGGATGAGCTTTGAATGTTTTCTTTTGCATTTGTCATTGAATTGCCAAAAATGCATATTGATGCTAGGTGTGTAAACAACTGTTTAAAAGCAGATGGATAAATATGACCATGTGATTTCAGGTGAGGACGCCCTGCACGAGTACCTGCGGACTAAAGCTGTGACGGTGGAGTATTGAAGGAACACTGCTGGAACGAACTGCAAACAGCCTTTTACCGCAGCCCCATTTGACTTGAAACAGGTTTGATAGGAAACCCAGAGCATTTCCTGCCAAAACTACACTGATGTGCCTACATTTTGTATAATATCGCTTTTTTTTTCCTGGATAATGCTTGGAGGGACAAGTAATGACTGGCCTGTGTCAAAATGCTGGTTAATTTTTTTAAAGAAATGGCAACAGACCCCCAAGTGGATCCAAGAAACTGTCACAAATCATTATTTATCTTGCGAACACTGAAATATGTCACAGTGATAAAGTGAAATAGAGTTATTTGAGTTTATTAACCGCAACAGTATCACAATCATGATGACAATAGCAGTTAATTGGGAAACTGTTGGCTTGATGCTGCAGAAATTGTTCAATCGTTCACGTATCGTATCACATATCATTCATTTACACAACTGTACGTAAAAGTTTGGGGTCAGTAAGTGTTTTTAAAGACGCCCTTATGATCAGGAGAGCATATATATGATCGACAAGCAGTAATATTTAATGTAATTTATTTCTGTGTTTCAAAAGCATCATTACTCTAGGCTTTGATTACACGATCTTTCAGAAATCACATTAATATGCATTAATCATATTAATGTTTTGCTCAGTAATGTTTATCAAAGTAGAAAAACATTTTTAAGGAAACCATCATGTTTTTGTCTTAAAAGCTGAATATAAAGCTAAAACTAATTGAAATATAAATATTTATAACATTATGAAGGTACACTGTAAAAATGATTTGTTTTTACCTAAAATAAGTGTATAAACCTGTGCTTTTAAAACAATTAGTTGACTTTACATAATAAATTAAGTAAATTTATTACAAGTTAAATTTATTACAAGTTGCAATAGATTTGCTCACTTTTTTAAATAAAGTTTATAAGTTTTCTCACTTTTTAAAGTAAATAATCACTTATTACAGTGTTTTTTCACTTTTCATCTATTTAATGTATCCTTGGGTATTAAAAGTATTAATTTTTATTTTAAATAAGTCTTTCTGACCTCAAACTTATAAAATATAATTTATATCAATTAAGAAAAAATTTTAAGCTATTCTTTACTTTTATTGTCTGTGGTCTCATATTTTCAAGCCATGTCACATCACTGCCACTTTATGAAATCTGTATCAGCATATTTGTACATCCCAAGGATTTTTTAATATGCATAGCATTTTCATGACAATTGTTTTTATTAGCATAACTGTATATATTTTATTAGAGGATACGACGATTTGTCTTATTTTATATATTTAATTTTGCATTCCAGACAGACGATTGGAAATGTGGAAAGGGAAATGATATAAACACTATTCTCTTTTAAAAGAAGTTATTTATTTTGTACAACACACAAAAAAAGTGGTACATTCTTGGGGGAAAATATGGAGAAGTAACTTGAGTACAGTACAATGTGAACTGTTTCTGACATTCTTGTTAGGATGACTGAAAATATGTGTTTGTTTTGTCTGAACCATCGTAATTTTGTTTTACAAGAGCAAACAATTTATTTTATTGGGAGTTTGAGGTTCTGTATAAGCTGTCGGTCCCACTGGAAGTGTCATATTGCCAAATAGTCTTCATATGCAACAGTATTTAAACTTTATATCAACTGCAAACAAACATTTAAGGAGAGTTGTTTTTACAATAAACAACAGAAATGACAAAAACTTAGCTTTTCTTGATTGAAAATATATATATACCTCTATATCTTTGCCAGTGAGGTTATTGCACTCTAACAATGCTTTTCTTACTTTGATTTTTGATTATTTTCTACTCCGAATATTTAAACTCTAAATCAAGAAGCATTTTATAGAAAAGCATAAAATGTTGAATTGTTTTTAAAAATTATTTGGCAAAGTAAATGAGTTTACCCTTAAAACAAGCAAAATAATCTTGTTTTTCCTTTTGCCGCAAGATTATTTTGCTTGTTTTAAGGACAAACTCAGTTTTGACATATTTCTTAAAACAAGACAATATTTTGCTAGACTAAAAATGCTCCTTGATATTATAATTAATGCAACCCTATTAAACAGATTGTTCAGCAAAAAAAACTTAATTCATGCTCATACCCAAGATTTTTTTTCCTTCAGTAGAAAATTATATATATATATATATATATATATATATATATATATATATATATATATATATATATATATATATATATATATATATATATATATATATATATATTTAACTGAAACAATTAGTCTTTTCAGGAAACTTATTTTTTATTTATGATCTAATATTAGTGCTGGGCAAAGATTAACTGCAATTAAACACATCCAAAATAAGTTTGTTTTGACATAATATATGTGTGTATTAAATATATTTATTTTGTTTCTGTGATACACACACATGCATAGGAGCAAAACTATACAAAACAATTTTGTTACATAAACATTTAAATTTATATATCATTTTTGATCATATACATATGTATTTAATATCAAACTAAATAATTTTTTTTCCCAAGTACTGGGTTGCAGCTGGAAGGGCATCCGCTGCTTAAAACATATGCTGGATAAGTTGGCGGTTCATTCTACTGTGGTGACTCCAGATTAATAAAGGGACTAAGCTCAAAAGAAAATAAATGACTGAAATAATAATTTTCTTAAATATATGCATGCATGCATTAATGAAACAATCTTAGTTAAACTTTTTCTCAAATATATGCATGCGTGTTTTTATATAAACATAATAAACAAAGTAAACACACTAAATTCTGTCAAAAAAAACTTTTATTTTGAATGCGATTCATTTTTGCCCAGCACTAATATAAATGATTATCTTTAATCCACAGCCTCAGCATATAGTGCTAGGCACAGAAATAATAGTGCAGCAATAATGTTAGACTTGTGTTACAACACTAATAAATCACAGAATGATTATTTCACTGCCAAAAAATAAAAAAGCTTGTTTAATGCAATACTTAAGAAAAAAAAACACCTTGGATAGTCTGATCATAGATTAACAGCAAACATACATTTTTTTTTTTTCTCGGTTGAACGATCATTTAACTCAGTGTTTCTCAACCACGTTGGAGGAGGACCACCAGCTCTGAACATTCTCCATGTCTCCTTATCCAAACACACCTGATTCAGATCATCAGCTCATTAGCAGAAACTGAAAGACCTGTAATGGGTAGGAGACATCCAAAATATGCAATCTTGGTGGTCCTCCAGGAACATGGTTGAGAAACACTGCTTTTACTGTAATCCTCATTTAGACTAAAACATCTCCACAGACCCATGAAATGTTCCTTGCTTGACTCCACCAGCTTACAATCACCAGTCTGTGCTCTTTCCAAACAAAAGCAATCCTGGATTGCTTCTATATTTCAACCACAAGCACAGAAATGGCCGCAAAAGTCTCTCAGATTAATGCCAATAGGCAGAACGTTCATTCTGCCTCTTTCTCCAGCATCTGTATGTTGGCCTTTCTCTTTCGGTCACCTGGAAGTTTGAGTGTCTTTGCTGTGACCGTTTGCAGCTCTTCCTCTGAACTGTCTTCCTCAGAACTTGATGATGACTCTTCATCCTCTTCACTGCTGTCTGATTCCTCCAGCTCAACCAGAGCCACGTCCTGCAGAGCAAAACACATCGGGTCATTCATGGAAAAAAAGTGGAATTAAATTATTATTGGACACTTGCTGACGTGATGAGATCAGACAAACCATCTCAATGACTTTCTCTGCGTCCTCCACCGTCTCGATGTTAAAGAAACCCGCGGGAGCTTCTTCCATCTGCTGCCTTAAAGACTCGTTAGCCTGAGCCATTTGGGGAAGGAAATTCTGCAATCGGTCCAAGACTAGCACAAAAAAAACACACAATTTATATGTTATATGAGTGGAAAAGCCGCTTTGTAGCATGAAAGGTCATTTCATTAGATTCAAATTGTAAGATTTAAGAGTTTAAAAAGTGTCTGTCATACATTTTTACAAGAATTTAAATAATAAACCAACAAGAAGTTAAATATTTGATGAGATATTCAAAATACTAATCATATTACTTATACTAAATCATAACTATAGTTATTAATTTACTATAGTTTTAAATTTAGCCACATCCTTCAAAACTTTAAAAAATTTCTTTTGACAAAACTGTATTGTCAAAAAAAAAAAAACATTGATCATTTTAAATCTACACATCGATATGTCGTATGATATTTTTTTCCTTTTATATAAGTGAATAAATGAGTATAAATTTAATATATGCTTTCTATGTATTGATGATCACTTTTGGAAATGTAATAATTGTGATGGGGGACACGTGGCTCAGCACTGTCACCTCACAGCAAGTAGGTCGCTGGTTCGAGCCCTGGCTGGGTCAGTTGGCATTTCTGTGTGGAGTTTGCATGTTCTCCCCGTGTTCCTCCTGTTTCCCCCACAGTCCAAAGGCATGCGCTATAGGTAAACTGAATAAACTAAATTGGATGTAGTGTATGAGTGTGAATGCAAGAGTGTTTGGGTGTTTCCCAGTGCTGGGTTGCAGCTGGAAGGGCATCTGCTGTGAAAAACATATACTGGATAAGTTGGTGGTTCATTCTGCAGTGGCAAACCCTGATAAATAAAGGGACCAAGCCGAAGGAAAATGAATGAATAAGTTGATGTGGACACCAAAAGTCTTTGAGTTACATGCATAATCTCATTATACTGGTTATGCATTAAATATAGCATTAGAAATGTCATAAATAACTGCAAATACATATATATGTTGAATATGTGTGTGTCTGTGTGTATATACACATACACCCACACACACACATATATATGTGTGTGTGTGTTTATGTATATATACAAACACACAAGTTGTATATATACAAAGAGAGAGAGAGAGAGAGAGAGAGAGAGAGAGAGAGAGAGAGAGAGAGAGAGAGAGAGAGTTGATGACATGAATGTACTTACCATTACTTCTGGAAACTCTTTCCGTTTTCAGGGAAGCACCTTTAGAGTTCAATAACAGTTTCTCGTGGATTCCTGGAGATGGCAGTTTATAATTTATTTTAAATGACATTATACAATGCAAAAATTATAAAAGTTAAAAAATAATTAATCTGAAATATAGCTTGAATGTGAAATAAAAGGCATTCTTTGACACAATGACTGAATTAAGGTAAAGTTGGTTTTATGTTCACACATTCTGCCTTTCTCCTTAATATCATTTCAGAGAAGTATTATTTGTCAATTCTAAATAGTGAAATCATACCAGCAGCCGATGACTATCAACATACAACATTGTTCACAGTCAATTTCAATAGTGCTAATGTTGTTTTGAAGTCATTCTCACATGTGATTTCAGACCAAATATTCAAAGTATAAATATAGGGAGCAGATCACAAGTTGTCACTGAAGAATGTGCCAATTAACCACAATAATGACTGAAAATGATTGTTCACTGAACGTTCATGATGCTGTTGTTCAGCATGAATACCTTGAGGAGTTAAAGATATGAAATATCATCCGGTATTTTAGGCTCTGTATTAGCTAAAAGCCAAAATGTATATCTTTTGAGTCCAAAATCATATTTGGCTATGATGCAAATAAGTAAATAAAAAGAATCACATGTAAAATATATAGATTAATGTCAATTAAATAAACAATTCACTTATATTTTTACAATCTGAATAGATTTTATGTATATATTTATATCGATTTCCACAACGAATACACTTGAGTTCATATCAGGACTATGTTAGGTTTAATTCCTGCACATCTGAATAAGTTAGACAATCTTACATTTTACTTTAACAGTTAACAATTACAATTAGACACGTGAAAATATACAAATCGCTTATTAATAATAACATACCAAACGCAAAAGCAAATCCATACAAGACAGTAAACGAATTTATCTTCATTTGTAACGTTAAACTAGCTAACTTAGCGTAAAATCATGTCTTTTTTCTTTAAAGAATGTCTCACCTTTTCCATTGCCACAAGTCAGCAAGTCCTTAGAAGAGGTTGCTTTTTTGGTACAGTTTTGTGTTTGAGCCATGTTTATTCCCTCACATGCACAAACTTTCTAGTATCCCCATGTGTTTACAACATAATAACTTCCGTGTTGAAGGGTCGAGCTTCCTCTAGCGCCCTCTGGAGTTTTGGGTGTACGTGCCTTATAATCATAATAGTCATTAAAATAACAGATAAAACACCCTAAAACACTTTACTGTATTGTATTAATTCTAGCTAAAATTACAATTGCTCAACTGTAGTATCTTAAATGCCTAAATTATTAAACGTATGGCTGTATTATAAAAAGGTATGGCTGTATTTGCATGGACATGACTTGTTTTTCTTGTTACTATTTTGACAATTTGACCTAATTACACAGGATGACCTCACTGGTATTCACCTCGTCGTACTTGTTTGACAACGTGCCCTTCTTTCTAAGAGATGAACATAATTATAAATATTTAAATGTATTGTATTTAAAAAAACAAAAGAGTTTTGCCATGTAATAAATAGTTTTTAATAAAAATTGGTCAATTATTGTCCAATATTGTAGATCTAAAACCTCCCATTATTTGACATTATTTATAAGACTTTTCTTTTTTTAATTTAAAAACTTTTATTTTGAAGTGCACGCTCGCTCCCGCGGCTGTCGCAGTGCACGGCATTGATGACGTGCAGCCGCTGTCACAGAGCTCCAGTCCGACGTTTAGGGAAGAAGCAAAAACTCGCTTCGACGGAGCGGAAAATACCACGGTAAATATATTCAGCTGTAATCTTTACACCATTCGAAGAGTTTAATAACGTCTAACACACGTTAAATAAAGCGCTGGTTTAATTTGACAGGCTTTGAAGTTCATTTGATGAATTGTTAATGTTGACTCTCAGTCAGCTGGAGAATATTTAGGATGCTTTGAGATGATTCCAACACACAAGTCAACTACGCACAGGTGTAGTAGACCTATAATTAAGTAGGTTTTGGTAACCATAAGGCATATAACCTTCACAAAGCTGGTTTGTTCTTATAGTTTGTCAAACTGAAAATACAGTCCGTCCTCTTCCTGCCTCTGCATCACATACATAATACATTAAAATATCTCAAGTCCTATAAAATGTATAGGTTTAGTTTTTGAAATGTATTGGTTAAGTTTTTTTTCTGATAACAATATCGTATGTGTTTGTGTATCTTCGTTCTGGTTTCTGAAAGCTTATATTGTTCCATTGACTTTGTTTACAAACATTTGCATGTGATTCAGTATGTGTTGTTTATTGATGTGACTGTTTGATAATATTAGGAAACACTGCTTCATCTTGTTATAGATTATTTATTTATTATTTGTAATGTAACATTTCTAGTAGTGATATATTTATTTTTAGCATTGTCACTTTATTAAATTGCAATCTTAAAGGAATAGTTTTTACTTAAAAAATAATATAAATGTTAAAGTGTTTCAAATTGTTTTTATTTGTCGAGATATTTTTTTTAGCATTTTAACTTTATTAAATTGTAATCCTAAAGCTTAAGTTTGTTACTTATAACTTCACAATTATCATGCAATGCCCCCCAAATACACATGAAAATATTACTGACATTATTCCGAAACTTAAGTTTGTTGCTCAAAATAATTGATGTCAGTAAGTTTAAGATGGTTTACTAAACATTATAACCTCTTTCTAACAGATGCATTCATAAAATTCCTGTTTTGATTTGGCTGTGCTCTTTTTTGCTTAAGTTTCTTTTATTATTTGTGTTTGATTTATTTGTTTTTCAGCATTCATTTTATTAAATTGTAAACTTAAAGTTACAGTTTTTTTACTTAAAAAATATACAAATGTTCTTCAAATTTACTTTATTTTTCCACATATTTTATTTGTAACTTTGCAATTATCCTGCATTTTCCTGCCAAATACTCATATACAATTATTACCTACATTGTTCAGAAACTTAAACCCAGGTTTGTTGCACAAAAGAATTGACGTCAGTAAGTTTTATATTGTGTACTGAACATTATAACTTCACTCTAACAGATTAATTCATAAACATTCCTGTGTTGATTTGGCTGTGCTCTGTTTTGCTTTAGTTTCTTTTATCGTTTATATATGATTTATTTTATTTTTTAGCATTTTCACTTTACTAAATTGTAATCTTAAAGTTAATTTTTTTACTTAAAATATAATCTAAATGTTCTTCAAATTTACTTTATTTTTCCAGATATTTAAATTGTAACTCCACAATTACCTTGCACCCCCCCCCCCCATCCGTATATAAAAAATCTTAAAGTTAAAGTTTTTTACTTATTTTTTTTTTTAAGTTTTCCAAATTGTCTTTATTTCTTCAAATAACTCCACATTTATCCTTTGTCCCCCACCCCCCAAATACACCTATAATATAATTACTGACATTATTCAGAAACTTAGTTCCAGGTATTTTGCACAAAAGACTTGATGTCAGTAAGTTTTAGATTGTGTACTAAACATTATAAGCGCTGTTTCAGCATCTAGATAAAATTGCTTTTGCTGACAGACTAAAAAAAAACAAAAAAACATGATATTGTGCCCTTGACTATGCTTGCCAGTGCTGTTGATAAACTGTCTGTGCTTTTCTTCATCAGGTCACTGTGATAATATTATGGATGCCACCTTCTGGTTCTGCTGATCTGCTACTTTTCTCAAAGTCGAGAGGGCCATGAGCCCAGCCAAGTCTAATCTTCAGCATGAGCCTCCGAACGATAGGGGGTGCTGTCCTCAGCTCCCTGGGCCCTAGTCTGGCTGCTCAGGCCGGAGGAGCCTGGAGCTCCGTTTCTTTCAGACCCATACCCTGCATGCTTCAGACCATGGTTCCTTCTGGTTACACTGCTCTGCAGGAGGAACGGCTGGCCATGGTGGATCTTGGGACACCCAAGCCAGAGTCCCATAAGAATGGCTTCCACCGAGAGTCCCGGAGACATTCAGACCGTGGTAGCAGGACCTCCATCAGCCTCTCTGAGGCTGGAGATGGACGATACGCGGAGACTGAACCCATGCTGCCTGAAAGCAGGCTTTCAGGAGAAGAAGCTGATGAGGAGGAGGAGGAGAGTGAGGAGGAAAAGCAGCAGTTGAGAAATGTAAACATGCCCAAAGAGTCACTCCTGGCCATGGGGCTGCAGATACTGGTGCCATTCCTTCTTGCAGGGTTCGGTACAGTGTCAGCTGGGGTGGTACTGGATATAGTACAGGTGAGACCCTGGGGAGCATTTTCCATCCATCCGTCCGACCGTCTGTCCGTCTGTCTGTCTGTCTGTCTGTCTGTCTCCATCCATCCATCCATCCATCCATCTATCCATCCATCCATCCATCCATCCATTATCTACCTATGTATCTATCCACCCATTTTTCTGTCTGTCTGTCCATCTGTCTGTCCATCTATCTATCTATCTATCTATCTATCTATCTATCTATCTATCTATCTATCTATCTATCTATCTATCTATCTATCTATCTATCTATCTATCTATCTATCTATCTATCTATCTATCTATCTATCTATCTATCTGTCTATGTATCCCTCCATCCACTGACTTACTTTTAGGATTCGTACGATTAAGGATTAGACGAGAAAAAAATTAGTTAAACTTGTCTATGATTTATTAAATCTAAGTAACAAATTAAGGAATGAAACTTATTTCCATCAACTTTTACTTTAATTTGTTTGAGTAAACTAGTTATCTTAGGTAATAATGTGCATAATTACTAAAATTAAGTCAACGTAACAGTTCAGAATTAAAATGAGTTTACTAATTTTTTAGAAACAAGTCCCTTTTGTGGGGATGGCTGTGTTAAGGAATTGCTCCCCATTTTTATTTATTTTATTTTGCTCATGTATTTGTCCTTGATTACTCATTATTTGTGTATAAATACATTTAAATAATTGAAAGAACTATTCTATACAGACTTTTTGAAGTCTGTTGAGTACCACTGACATGAGTCATTCATAGCATTTTGTTCTCTTTTTTCCCCCTCTTTAGCATTGGGAAGCATTTAAGACTGTTACAGAAATCTTCATCCTTGTTCCAGCTCTTTTGGGTTTGAAAGGAAACCTGGAGATGACTCTGGCCTCCAGACTTTCCACAGCGGTTAGTATTACTAAACTAACTATCCACTGTTTGCACATCATTTCAGCCTGCTTTAGTTTAGGCGTGTCTGTAATTTGATGACTTAATAGCAACTTTTATTTAACCCAAGAAGTGCATTATTGTGGTTCACGATGAGATCTGGGCCTGTCAGGACCTGATGATTCAAGCTAGTTAAAAAAAAAACATACGCCTGTGATAGAATAGTCTGTTATTATCATTGTTATGACTCAATAGGTGCTTCCATCTCTCATATGCATGAGTGTAAAAAGATTGTAAGTTTCAAGACAACAGTTTCATGAAACGTATTTACTTAGTTACTAATAGTTAAAGTTAGTTATGAGCTATTAGTTAATATCAAGAGATAAGGTAGTTAAGTATCCCTGGTTTTATTGTGCAGATTGTTTGCACAGTTTTCTTAATTCTTTTTTGATCGAAATGTAAAAACATCTACCACCCTAAAATAAATACATCCACCACTATATTATTTTTAAACTATTGCTTTTCTTCAGAACAACCTACTTAACTTAGATATAGAGATAAATATATACAAATAGACATAGATAATAATCTATGTAGATATGAATGTACTTTTGTTTTAGATGCTATAAGGCTTTATAACCTAAAATTTTAATCTTAAATATCAAGCTTTAATTTTTAATGTATGTAGTTTTAGTTTAAATGTTTATTATTATTATTATTATTATTATTATTATATATTTTATTATTATTATTATTATTATTATTATTATTATTATCATTATTTTTATTATTATTATTGTTATTATTATTATATTTGTTATTTTATTATGAAGAATGCTAGGATGTGCTTTGTATTATTCTTTATTGTATTGTTCTTGTGTAATTTTGTTTGTATGCTGCGTCACCATATCCCTGCCCTACTTTAATTAGCTCTTGCGGGATTATTAAAAGTTGGTAAAATTAAGTCCATTGTAGCATAGATTCACCAATGTTCTGAAAATACTTCTCTATTAGT